AATATAATAGAACCTTTAGTTATATCTCTCTTTATTTCTATTCCTAGGTAATATTTAGCTTACCCTAGATTAGATATATCTAATTTAGAGTACTTGGTTATCTCTAAATAGAAGTTATCTATATCTTTAGTATTAGGTGTAAAAACTAATATATCGTCTACATAGGCTGAAATAATTAGATTATCTCTAATATAGACTGCATTTTCAGCTATAATTTAAGTGAATTTTAAGGATATTAATATATCCTTAAGTAGGTCTTACTATTCTCTAGCTAATTACTTAAGTCTATATAATAATAATAATAATAATATTATATAACTAGGTAGAGTAGTACTCTACAGGCCTATGCCTCCTCTAGTCTAAGCTACTATGTAAGAAGAAACCCTATAGGGAAAAACTTCCTTATGTCTATAACTATATCTTGTTAAGCCTCTATTTCGTCTTAAGTATATAGCTATAGGGTACGCCTATTAGCCTATAGCCTATATTACCGTTATTTTACCCTTAGGTAGCACGTATAGGTACGGAGGTTATTAGTTAAGGGCTGCCCTTAACTAATAATCGGGGTTCTCCCGGGGTTCTTCCGGTATATATCGGGTTACTACTAGCGTGTACCGGGTCTCTTCCGGCATATATTTCCGGGTCTACTAGAATTAGAGGAGTAGTAGATATATAATTATCTACCGGGCGACGTCCTTAGGGTACTTATTAAGCTATTATACGATATTAGAGGTTCTTATTATATAGATAAGCTTCTACCTTTACGTATGAAGATCGGGGTATATTATAAGATAGTAGCGTATTATACCTCTCCGGCCGCACGCCTTATACTATAGAGATATATTAGGGACGCCTCTCTTATAGAGGTAGTATAGAAGTCCTATAGCGCCCGTTCGGGCTTAGAGGAGTATAGATACCTAGGCCTTTATAAGCCCTTTATATATCTATTTACTTAGCTCCTTCTATAGTCCTCGGATCTACTCTAGGTACCTATCCTACTAGGAGGCCTACTAGGCCCGGAGTGTCTCTTTCTACTTATCTTAGATCCACGACCGTATACTTCGTCCGAGCTCTTAAAGACTCTATTAGTCTAGAAGGGTATCTAGGTTATCCTTAATCTCTTATACTACTTAGTTCGAGTCTATTTCTATTAGGTACTTATACCATAGTTAAGTCCGGCCTATATATAAGAGTACTTAGTAGTATACGCTAACTTACGCGCGTAGCACGGCGAAGGTATATTCTACTTTTTCTACACGTTCCTATACTTATTATTTAGTAAAGTATACCACCCTCTATATCTAGTAGAAGTTATATATACTTATAACGTCTATCTCGCGTCGTAGTAGTACCGTGTTAGTAGCTTTATATACGCCTAATATAAGACGGAGTATACGGTTCTATATAGATTTAAGCTTCATTCGCCTAGTCTATATAAGGGCCGTATACTAGTACTCGTGTCCGTACATGAAGGCGGGTCGTGCTATAGATATATATAGTTAGCGTGCCTTATCCTAGGCGGTTCTCTATATAGAGGCTGTAATCCGTCGTATAGCGGCTTCTATCTAGAGGGCCCTAGAAACGGCGTATGCTACCTATAGTCTCTATTTAAGCTTATTATCGATTATAACGCCGAGTGCGCGTATACTTTATATCGGCGGTTCGTCGAAGGCGTCTATTCTAGAGCGTCGCTCGCCTTCCCTAGTAGTCTATTTCCTACGGCGGTTAATAAAGTATATAAGTTAGTACTTTTCGGGGGCGAACTTTACTCCATAGCGCTTTGCCCATTAGACGCATCTCCCGTGGTCTTATTCGAGTTATCTATATATTTAGCTAGTATTATTATCGATAGCTAGAAGGTATATATTATCTACGTACCCTACTACCTCTATACATTATATTCCCTAGAGAAGGTCTATAGTAAAGAAGAGGAATAGGATCGGGGAGATAGTACTTCCTTATGGGATACCGTAAGCTGTCTTCTCGTACTTACTTCGATATCCGGGGATATATATCTAGGTAACTCTTTTAGCGAGGAAGGACTATATAAACCGCGTAATCCACGCGGGTATACGCCTCTTCTATAAGTTATAGATAAGTCTTATATAGTTTACTTTATTAAATACGCCGGCCATATCGAGGGAGAGTAGCGTTACTATACGTCCCTACTTCTATACGGCCTAGACGACTTCGAGGATATATTAGATAGTAGTAATTAGGGAGCTTCTAGCCTTCGCCTTCTGGTTTACTAGGAGGAGGTTATATTCCTATACTACGGCGCTTATCTTCTTCACGATTATAGCCTCTAGTATCTTCCCGAGATAGGAGAGAAGGGCGATTAGCCTCTATCCTTTCGGGGAGTTAGAGTTCTTCCCTAGTTTCGGGAGTATAACGGTATAGGTAGCCCGGAAGCTTTAGGGGTGGTATCCGTTCTTAATACATACTTAAAATATATAACTAATAAGCGGTAGGGTAGCTAGTATAGTACGTTTAAGGCACCTATTTAGTATCCTATCTAGTCCGGGTACCTTATTATTCGGGAGTACTTTAATAGCGTTAAGTATATCCTCCTCGGTAACCTCTTAGGGGATATTAATTACGTCTAGGTATTTAGTATTATTAATATCTAATAGGTCTACTAGCTCCGGGAGGGGGAATATAACTTCACGTAAGATCTCTATCTTCTCCGGGCTTATAGAGTATGTCCTCTCTTAGTATATTAGGGGAGGCATTAGTAGCGGCGGTATCGGCGCGTCTACACCCTTAGCCTACTTTACTATACGCCATAGCCCTACGGCTTACCGTGTATATTTATTAGTAATTATATACTATTACTTTCGTCGTTCATTACGGAGAGCCCTATCACGATATCGTACTACTTCCTTCTACTCTTCCCACGCCTTAGTCGTCCGGATATAGTATACACGTGTATATAG